AAACTCACATACATACACGCACACACACATACACACAAACAATATAAGTTTTATACTGCTGTTACACAGTACAAAACGCATAAAAACTGGTGGGCATACGTGTCAAACATACGGATAAGTAAAAGCTGAAATCTAAACGCCGTTCGCAAAATCCCAGCTCGGGAATCAAATTGATTAGAGCATCTTAACTTTACGAAAATATTTCTCGCCCATACGCGGGCACATAAGCATAAAATAAACTTTGGCCCTCACCTGCATGGCACACTGGGAAGCATCAAACATGTAACGAAATGCGATTTTGCAGACCATTTAAGCTAGGAAGCTGAAATTTTAACAATGTATTTTATGCTATTGCACAGCTGCTTAGTTCACCATTGGCACTCAGTTAGTTCGCTAGTCAGACTGAGTAGGAAGGAGCTTTTTTCTGAGGATGCCCTGCTGTTCATGCGCGGATCAACGACTGTAAAATGAGCTTTCGCGTAGGTATGAGCTCTGCATTCAAGTGCATCAAATGTATAAATAGCGATATCGCAGTCACACCACGCCAGTACAGACGATATCTCTGTAGGAATGGAATCACGCAAAAAAGCATGATCGCACCGGCAAGGCTGGTGCGTCACAAGTCAGGCTTTAATGTTTACTTACCCTCAGACTGTTCCAGATCATGCTCACGAAATCTGAGCTCCATAGCTTTTATGATTGTGGTGTTACAAAATTACCAGCATCAACTTCTGCCTTTCTATACCATAGACGCACACGCACTTGAAATTCAAATTTTTTGACATACACGTGGGCGAGAAAAATCCTCGTAAAATTACCGCTTTCTGTCTAGCCTGGATCCTGAATCGGCATAAGTACCAGCAATGCCTCAGTTTGAAATTTGACGTATCCGTATGTGAGACGCAGACGTGTGTGTAGGTTTAATTCAAATTTTTTGAGCTGCACATGCATAAGGGAAATCTTCGTCATGTTTCAGCTTTCCAGCTCGTCTGGCTCCGGATTTCTCAAAAACCCCTTTCACGTGTCCATATGTGCGAATTAAGACGTGAACGTGCACTTTAACATTTGGAGGCCTATCCACGATGGTGGATCTTGTAGTCTTCGTAAATCGGGAAATCGACGAGCACACGCAGGTAGCCTCAGCAAAAATGCGCGTTTTCGCATTGCTCACAGACAAATCAATAGAGGTTGCAGCTCTCGACACGAATCCTCGCCTACAGTAGTCTGGTTTTTTCCAACACGCTCTGAGTCATGTTTTTTTCGGGACAGGCAATGCTGCCTTTGGCGGGTTCTCGCAGGGTTCCGATGTTTGACCGTCGGTTGTAGGCTGGGAAGGGTGAGGGGGGTTCGAGTGAGGACCTCTTCGTCCTTTTCCGTTGTACTGCGTTTGTGGGCGTAAATTCAGTTTCCGGTCGGTCACTTCACTGCAGCGCTGCAGCACGTATCACGGTCCTAAAAGTTAGCTTGCTAGACTAGTGGCGTGCCCTGTGTGTGTGTGTGTGTCTGGAAATACCCTGAAGTACATGAATTAACTAAAGTTAAAAAAGACAATACAAAAAGGGTGCTGAGGTTCTGGGGCACTGAAATTCCCTAGGACAGGGATAAGTCGAGAGCGAGTAGCTGGAAGTAGCTCTGAAAATCCCGGGGATGGGGCTGAGTGCCTCAGCTATCAGAGATTACTAAGACTGCGAAATTTTGAAAGGGGTAGGGTGTCCAAGGATTGGATTGGGGTATTGCATCATAGGGATGCAGTTGTTCCTTACGCCATTTCAAGCAAAAGACCATAAACATTATTTGATATATTATGTGATATGCTGTATTTGGTCTATATTATCCTTTATTTCGCATACTGGGCACCACTGTGACATTTGAGAGGGAGGAGAGGGCAAGTACTACTTATGTGGAGGGAGGGGGAGGGGGTTGGGTGGGCAGTCGCTGACTCGTTCGCTCTGTCCTCGTGTGTCCTGCTTGCTGAAGCGTTGGCAGTGCACGGCGCTGGTGTAGCGTTGGCGGTGGCTGTGTTGCGCTGGACTGCTCGCGCCGGCCATTGCTTCGCTGTTAATGTTTCTTTTCAGAATAAAAAGCAGTTGGCGGTCACTGCTGTAGCGAAGAATGGTCTGACGCTGCTGCTTGCTGCTGTTGCTGCTGCTGCTGCCGTCTGATATCGGAAGTGTGTGGAGGAAGGACGCCCGGCCGTCGCTCATCCGAGACGCCTGTGCTGGCATCGTCATGGATTCGCAGGGCAGGAAAGTTATCGTTGTCGATAACGGCACCGGGGTAAATTTTTCATTGATGCGCTTACTCATTTCGTGCAAGTAGGATTGTTTCAAGACGGACTTGGACAGTGAGACGGATCGGGCCTCCTCTGAACAATCGGATGCGTTTGTTTCAGTTTGTGAAGTGCGGATACGCGGGCAGCAATTTTCCGGCTCATATATTTCCGTCAGTGATCGGCCGTCCGATCGTGCGATCCGCGCAGAAAGTTGGCAATATTGAAATTAAGGTTGGCGAACTTGCTTGCTTTGCTCATCGTCATCATCGGTGCCGAGTTGCGCGGCCGGCGAGGGGGCATGGGTCATCATCGGTGCTTGCAGGACTTGATGGTCGGTGAGGAGTGCACCCAGCTGCGGCAGATGTTGGAGTGCAGCTATCCGATGGAGAATGGTATTGTTAGAAATTGGGATGATATGGCGCACATTTGGGATTACACGTTTGGCCCGGAGAAACTGGACATCGATCCGAAAGTAGGCTTTTGTGGATGGGAAAAGAACAGCGTCCTCT